GAAAACAATCAAATAAAAATAAAGGAGAGATAATCCTGCTAAATTATTGCTGCCATGCCTTAGATTAAAATTTCATTGTATCTAGAAAAATTATCGGCATTTGTTAGTATTACTATTACACCCAATAAAATGATTTAACTTTAAAAAAAAATTATTTTCTAAATTTTAAATTAAAGTATGTGAGAGTTATATTAATATGATTTAATTAATTTTATAGATTCAAAACTAATCTAGATAACAAGTTAAAAAACATGGTTTAAATTTAAAAAAATTCAGGATAATATTTTTTTTTAATATTAAAACAAAGATATATTAAATTGATATGGGTTTCATAACTCAACTTGTCAAACCTATAACCTAAATCATGGATTCTACTAAGTTTAATAATTTTTTTTTAAAAAATTACATAGTTATACTATAACAAAAATAAACGTTCAAAAAATAAAATATTAACAAAATATCAAGATGTTTGTTTAAAACTATAATAACTTCATAAAAATAAAACTAAAAAAATTATAAATATCAATTTAAAATAAAGATAAAATTAAAAAAAAAAACTCAATTAAAAGAAGAAAAATTGGAAGATGGATTTAAAAAAAAAATATTTAGCATTGGTGTTAAACTCAACCTATTGAGTTGACTTTAAAACTTTTCTAACTAACTCCTTACTTGGCTCAAGTTTAAATTTAATTCATATCTAATTTAATTTTTGATGAACCTAAGTGACTTGGTAAATCTAAAAGCAATCTGAGATACTGATAAAAGTATACTTTAATTTTAAAAAAAATCAATTTTTTTAATACTAAGATAAAAACATATTGAATTAACTTAGACTTCATATATTAACTTGTAAAACTAAAAACTTAGATCATGTACTCCACTAGGCTTCAAAAAAAAATTTAAAACTATTTTTTATTTAATAAGATGATAAAAAAATATATCTATAAAAATTAAATATCAATTGTACTAATTTTATAAAATAAATTATAACAATCAATTCAAAATTAATAAAATATAGAATGGTGGATTTAGAAGAAAAAAAATTCATAACTTGTTTTTTTTCACCCTTTTTCTCCATGTCCTCTCCTCTCCCCTCCTGCTCATTTCTCTCTCTAGTTTGTCCGACCTAACTAGTAAATAAAACCCATCCTATAGGAGATCTTTTAGTTCATAACGAAAGCTCTATTTTGTAGCATTTTATAGCTTTTATTTTCTGTTTTTTTTTTCTCAACAAGCCAGGCTAATATCTCAATTTTAATATTATTTTTAGTTCATAGAATTATTTTTGGGTCATAGAAGTCACAGGGAACTCTTGTATAGCCGATATCTATTTCCTATCTACAAGCAATATCAATCACCACCTTTTCTTCTATGATATAATCTTTTCATGATATAATCTACTTTTTATGTTTCATAATTATTTTTGAAAAAAATTAAATTTTATTTATTTTTTATTTAAATTAATTTTTTTTATATTTTTTTTTAATTCATTTCTAATAAAATAATACTTTTAAAAGCAACTCAACAACACTCTCAAAGGCATAAAAGTGAAGACTAGTATGAGAATTTTTACAACTTCATTGTTATCAAAGGTAAGGTTCAGCATCTAATCAAAATTTAAATGGAGCCCCACAAAGATCTACTCGACGTCGGCAGCTTCGGTCCAGTAGCTGCTGAGAGGTTCTGGGTCTAATCCAATTATCGAGCAAGTCATCCATCATTCTGTGTGAAGGATATTTCAGTTCCCTCCACGGAAAGAATATTTAAGATACTGAAAGTCTGACCTTTTCCTTTTCACAAGGACCAAGAAATTAAGTATATCAACATTATTTTTTTGGCTTGAAAACCCTCCTCTGTATATATCCAGAATATCTTTCTTCTAAAAGGGCAGATCGTTCAGTCACTTTTGCATCCGGCTTCCCTCTTGTGGAAGAAGCTTGTGTTTCCTCTTTTTCTTTATCCGATTCTTGAGACCGACACCTACCTGTTCTTGAACCTTCTGCTGAGCTTTAACCCTTTCATTTGAAGTACCTTGTCACTCTTACTGGTCTAGTGGCTCTGGTTGGATTGAAATTCCTATACAATGGCATCGCATGTACTTTTTTCTTGTTCTATGCATCTCCTGTAGCGAAGGGCTCAAGGCTTCTCCAGTCGAACCACCGATTTCTACCATTTCATGATGCACTAGTATGAGAATTTTTACAACTTCATTGTTATCAAAGGTAAGGTTCAGCATCTAATCAAAATTTAAATGCAGCCCCACAAAGATCTACTCGACGTCGGCAGCTTCGGTCCAGTAGCTGCTGAGAGGTTCTGGGTCTAATCCAATTATCGAGCAAGTCATCCATCATTCTGTGTGAAGGATATTTCAGTTCCCTCCACGGAAAGAATATTTAAGATACTGAAAGTGTGACCTTTTCCTTTTCACAAGGACCAAGAAATTAAGTATATCAACATTAATTTTTTGGCTTGAAAACCCTCCTCTGTATCCAGAATATCTTTCTTCGAAAAAGGGCAGATCGTTCAGTCACTTTTGCATCCGGCTTCCCTCTTGTGGAAGAAGCTTGTGTTTCCTCTTTTTCTTTATCCGATTCTTGAGACCGACACCTACCTGTTCTTGAACCTTCTGCTGAGCTTTAACCCTTTCATTTGAAGTACCTTGTCATCCTTACTGGTCTTGTGGCTCTGGTTGGATTGATACAATGGCATCGCATGTGCTTTTTTCTTGTTCTATACATCTTCTGTGGCGAAGGGCTCAACGCTTCTCCAGCCGAACCACCGATTTCTACGATTTCATGATGCTATTTCACAAAATAGACAGCCAATGCTGCTCATTCTTCCATCGAGTTCGTTCCCACCTAGATGGTGATCAGACTGGTTGAAACTTCAATGCACCAAGTCAGGAAACTTGATACGTTGAATCTTGCTTTTATAGTTTCTTCGAATGGAGGAAGAATCAGAGGATGAAGAAGTGGAGCTATGCGAATAAGAAATCAGAAAGGGTAAAAATTTGCCGATTCTTGTTTTAGCTCTCAAACACAAGGCCATCTTCGTTAGCGGCAGATTTGGTTGTTGCTTTTGAAGGCATACAAAATTCTTCCAAACTTGTATCGTTTACAAGCAAACTTCCTTTGCTTCAATTATTTTCATTAAGCATTTCCTCCTAGTTCGCATGCAGGCATAATCATTAAGCAGTAACAAGAAAAGAATTTGGAAGTTGCTCAAGTGCCAATCAAAAAAATAACAAATGTAGCAATCATTCGAGATATCAACACCATCAAAGTATTTAAACTATTGTCTTGATCTAAGCTATTCCCAGAAAGGATGGAAAAACAAAACAAAAAACAAGTTCAGTTCCCAACAAATGATGATATTCTTTCTAAGACTCACTGAAGATTATGCCAAATATGCAATACATGGTCAAAGTAAAATCTGTAGCAGGCCTCACGACCAACTACCACCACCATCGACTACAGGTTGAGGTAGGGGAGCGGGTGCGGGAGCAGGAGCAGCACCCCAATCATCCAATCCACCTGCTGCCGAGGAAATAAACAATTCAAGCATGGAACAGAACAGCTCAAGAAAACAATGTTGAAATAATAAACGTAGAATGTGAGAAAGCAAGTGGTACAGTCCGCAGACTAACACAAAGTGCCTTCACCTGAATCACTGGCACGCAAATTAATCAACAAAACACAAATTCCATACCTTGGTCTGGTGTCAAGCTTGTTGTAGCAGGTGCATCAGGAATCGGTATTGCTTCAT